GGATGCTCGGGGCCCATCGAAGCGGCGGCAGAGATTTAAACTATGCATATATATATTTATATATATATATATATATATATATATATATATATATATATATTATATATATCGGTATTTAGGCGGCACGCCCCTCTGGTAGGGATCTATCACTGAACCACTCGCAGTGAAGTGAATGAGAACCGTTCGACCAGCCCGCTTGGCTATCTGACCGACTTTGCTGCTATATACGTTACATAATAGCATCGAAAGATCTTTCAAATGAATAAAAAACTTTGATAATACCTCACACATACTTTGATTTATTTAAATTTAAAAATTTAAACGTCCTGTTTTGTACATTTTACTCACCTTACACTCTATCGTATGCTTTGTAGATCCTCCTCCTCATTTCCTGAGCCCTTCTCAGGGCGTGGTGATACTCTTAATATTGTTAGCTTGCTGTCCCAATTGGCTACATCGTGTTTCACATTTACTGCTTCATGTTGGGATTTTCCCATAAGAATCTTTATTTCGTTTGGCCATCGTGTTGGAGATCTTCCTCTTAGTCTTCAGACTTCTACCAATAGTTCCATGGTCCCCATTCTTCTCTTGCTATGTGGCCGAAGGTATGCTCGGTTTTTTTTATAGCATATCTATTAACTGAAGCTCTTCTAGAATTCACAGGTTGCTTCTATGTTCTGTCCAGGACACGCGTAGCATTCTTCTATAGACCCCCATTTTAATCTTCTCCTATCGATTTTTTATAGTCCATGTTTTAGCTACGTATTTACCAATTGGAAAAATAAGGGCGTTGATCAACATGAGCTTAGTATTCCTTGTTATTGTTTGGTCTTTCTATACTTTAATCAATTTTACTGTTATAGTTTGTACCATTGTTAGTCTACACTTGATTACTGAGAAGAAATTGCCATTACTGCTTATCAGGGATCCCAAGTATATAAATCTGTCTACCACTTCGAAATTCGCCACGTGGTGTATGTGTGGTAGATTATTATTTGCTCTATCTACGATCATTATTTTTGTTTTTGCGGTGTTGGTCTGAGGTCTTCACTTATCCAGCTTAGCCGTTCGGTAATAGTAATTATTTCGACTTCATTCGCTAACTAGTGTAGGTGTGTCATCTTCGAATCACAGGTTACTGGTGTTTATACCTCCTATAGTAATTTGTCTATCCCATTTATCTAGTGCTTTTCTCATTATATATTTAGAATCTATGTTGTATGGTAATGTTGATCGTATGCAGCCCTGTCTAGGTTCTTTCTTGTATTAAACGCATAATACTATAAAGGAGATCCCATGTTAACGAATCGAAAGCCTTTGTGTATTTTTCGAATGATATTGGTATGTTGTATTCCCTTGCTTTTTCTATTATTTGACTGGTGTTCAGTATCTACTCATGCGTTCCTTTTCGTGGTACGAATCCACATTGTTCTTCGGCTATCTCTAGAAGTTTACTGAGCAGTTATTTTTCCAGGTCTTAGCAAAGCTCCCTATGTCGGCTTTTACTTCTTGCATTATTGATTTTTAGATTACTAAAGCCCAAATAAATGTTTTTAAGTAATAAAAATTTTTACACTTACTTCCTTATGATGACAATTGTATTTGTTGTTGGTCTACTTTTGTCACTCCAAATTGATTTATGTATATTTCTATTTCTTAACATATCCGTCTAGAGTTACTGTCTCTCATATTTTCATAGTGTGATTCAGTCATTTTATGGCCCTCTAATTCTAAATTTGTAAACCTAGTATACCCAAAACGTTTAAATAATTAAATTTTTTTGTAGTTTTATGTGATGGATCCTGTCCTGTAATACGCGGTCGGCATGTTCTTGAGCGACGGCGCTTCTAAGAAATGGCGATGAGACGAGAATGAAATGAATGGAGATGAAGAATGGAGTGAACCTAGAATCAATTAATTTTATTTCTCCTGCCGGGTTGGTCTGGTCATTAAGTGGCTGAAATAATGATACTCACTTTTTTACTTGATGCACTATTAATTCCAACTAATGATTAGATGGTGGAGTTTCGATGAATGCAATGAGATTTTGATGGAGATGGTTGCCTATAATTTTCTTTATTACGAAATAATCGTTGAAATTCAAAGTCTTAAGCAATATATTATAAAAATTAGGGACTAGATATTTATTGCTACCAACAAAAAATTAATTAAGCCATATTTGGCTAATGTTTGTTATCATAATCGTAGATTTTTAACCACGTCAGATTTGTGTCAAAAATAAATAAAAAATGTATGTATATATAAATTTTAGAAAAATCGAATGTGAATAAAGATAGCCTTATAGCAACAATTGGAGGAGATCATTTAAACACTTTAGTTTTTTATCCACACTGGCATATAATAAGGCATATAATAAGCAAACGTGTTATCATTCGTTTTATTTGACTTGACTATTTACACTTGAAGATACAGGTTCTCTCGGGAGAACCTGTAACTCTAAGAGAGCACGCCTTCAGGAGGCTGATAGGGGAATGTCCGATACGGTTTACCGGTGGGTGTGAGGGAAATAAAATACTTCCCATGGACCCATAGGTAATTCACCGAATGATTGCCGGTATAAGCTGGGGGCTGAGAAACCGGCCCCAAAGGCGGAAGAATAGTTGTTTGGTCAACGGCATAAGAATATAGAAGGCAATGAGAAACCACTTTATTAACGATCCCTATGAATATCTCAAGTACAATCATATTGGCTGTACAACACAACACAAACTCGCATTGCCTCCCGGGTCATCAATATACAAAATCCCTGTAAAATGCCCAATAACACACTTATAAGAAAAATTCATTTGAATTGTCTGAAAATAATATCCACTTGGAACGTTAGGACTATGGTTTAATCAGGAAAAATCCAATGTGCAATCAAAGAAATGGAACGCATGGAAATAGCAATAATGGGCACAAGCGAAAGAGGTGGCTGACCCAAGTCATTGTGACATAGAAGAATACAGATTATATTATTTAGGATCAGAAAATGGTAAATGTGAAAATGGAGTTGGAATTATCACACATAAAAGTATAGCCAAATATGTTAACAACTTCATACCAATGAACGATAGAATCCTTTTAATACAAATAAATACGTCACCGATGAACACTAACATTATACAAGTTTATGTACCCACAGCAGACCACAGTAATGAGGAAATATCAGAATTTTACAAATAAATAAGCAACCTTATAAGGGATATACCAAGACATGAACTCCTTATAGTCATAGGAGATTTCAATGCTAAAATAGGTAACGGAAAAGAAGGTCAACATATTGGTCCTTCTGGATTAGTAAAGAAGAATCAACGAAGAGAAACAATGAGTATCTTTGCAGCTGAGCATTACTTAATCGTGCTAAACACATTTCACAAACTACCACCTAGACGTCTCTATACGTGGAAATCCCCTAGAGCAAACGGGAGAAAGGGCCTAAGACGTTATTATAAGAAACCAAATAGACTATATATGTACTTGTTAACAAAAGATATCGAAATAGTTTCAATAGTGTTAAAACCTACCCAGCCGCTGATATTCAATCTGTCTACAATCCTTTGGTGGGCGTGTACGTGTATAGAACCATTAAAGATAACACGCGGAAAAACTGTAAAAAAGCGTGACATGAGAAGAATAATAACTCTATGTATAAAACATTGCAACGAGATATACAGAGAAAGATCAGAGAAGCCAAATAAAAAGAACTAGAGAAAAAATGCCAAGAAATCGAAATTCTACAAAGTAAAAAAGGACGACTTCAACGTGTATGAAAAATGGTAAGAGAATGGTAAGAGAGAGGTGGAGAAAAAGTAAGAGAAATTACAGCTAAATGTAAAAGCAGAAGAGTAATTAAACTTGTTAATGACAACGGAGATGTAACCGTGGACAAAGAGAGTATTGATAATACCTGGAAAAATTACATACGAAATTTATTTCTTGATGAGGTGGAGAACCAGTCCCCAATACATACGGAAACAGGACTACCTATACTAGTGACAGAAATAAGAGCAGCCATAATATCACTAAAAGAAGGGAGAGCTCCAGGACTAGACGGAGTACAGTTTTAATTTCTTAAACTTCTTGATAATGAATCTCTAAGAATAATATGTAAAATCTTCAATAATATCTATGACACAGCCAATATTTTAAAACATTTGCTAGTTTCAGAATTTATTACGTTACCAAAGAAACACGAAGCGAAAACATGCAGAGAATATAGGCTAATAAGTCTAATGAGCCATACACTAAAACTTTTTCTTAAAATTATACATCGCAGACTATACAAGCTATGCGAAGAGGGAATACAAGACATACACTTTGGATTCATAAAAGGTGTAGGTATAAGAGATACTGTTTAGTCTACAGTTATTATTCTAAAAATGCAGAGATATGACATGCGATATCTACACCTACTTTGTGGACTACCAAAAAGCATTTGACACAGATCAACACCGAAAAATGATGGATGTTCTAACAAAAACCCAAATAGATGATAAAGACCGGAGTATAATACAAAATTTATACTGGAACCAATCAGCCACAATAAGAACAAATCTTGGAGATAAACCGACGGAAGCGATCCAGAGGCGTTAGACAAGGATGTATACTTTGACGTATATTCAACCTATATTCAGAGGAAATATTTAGTGAAGCCTTGGAAAATTGCGAACATGGAATACTTTTGATGGAGAACGCCTAAACAACATCCGCTATGCAGATATCCCCGTTTTTGTGCAGACAGTTTAATCAGTTTATAGCAACTAATAAACAAAGTAAATGACGTAAGTAAAAAATTTGGACTACGAGCAAACATATCAAAAACTAAATGTGTGGTCATCAGCAAAAATAAAATTTGAAACATCCAACTGCTTATCAAGAATACACCAGTGGACCGAGTAAAACAGTTTACCTATCTTGGAAAAATAGTAAACGAACAATGGGATCACTCACAAGACGTAAAATGTAGAATAGAGAAAGCTAGGAGTGCATTCTACAACATGGCCAAACTCTTTAAAAGCCACAACCTTAATCTGGATATAAAAGTAAGGCTCCTACGATGTTATATCTTCTCGACATTATACTACGGAGTTGAATCCTGGGCACTCACTGAAGCGATTGAGAAAAAACTTGAAGCCTTTAAGATGTGGCTATACAGAAGAATTCTAAGGATATCATGGACTGAAAAGATAATCAACGAGACTACTACGAAGGATGGGGAAAGAAAGAGAAGTGATGTATACAATTAAAATGAGAAAGTCAGAATATCACGGACACCTAATGAGAAACGGAACTAAATACAGATTACTGAAAATAATCCTTCAAGGCAAAGTATTCGGAAAGCAAGGAATTGGGAGAAGAAGAATATAACGGTTAAAAAACCTGAGGAAATATTTCTCCACAACAACATTTAATCTATTTAAAGCATCAGTTAATATAATAATTATAGCCAGAATGATCGCCAATATTCGAAACGAATAG